TCAAAACTATTTTTGAGGATTAAATATGAATAAATATGACATTCAAAGTATGCAAACATTTTACCCGTAAGGGGGTAAAGTATAGTATATGCTATAATTTAAAAAGATATATAAATTGGGCGATATATAATGATAAGTGTGATGCAGACGAAATCGCCCGGGTCAGTTAGTAGTAATAATAATATTTATTGTCAGAAAAAAAGACACTTACACATATATTTGAATGTACACTGTTTACTTAAAAAGTAAATGAGCCTCTTAAAATAAGTATAAATTAACAGAAACAGTAGTACCACTACACACTGCATATTCTTGGCAACAGAGGCTGACTCAGCTAATGTTGTTACAATCAACCCTCAACCCCCATACAAGTGATTGTGAACTAAAAGTATATTATCCGATAATTACATTAAACAAACCGTTAATAGCATTACAATGCAACCAGTTGAGATACAATGCGGTTGCATCAGAGTAACTCGCGACCTCCACCCGTGCAGTGAAAGTACCACCTTGATCCACTGACCGACTGCGCGTGCATACACACGGACATCCTTTTAACACGTGGGCTATGCATTTTAATGGAATTGAATGTTTTATACCAGTTGACAATCTACCATACGACCCATGTAATGGTAAATGGTTAACGCATAATGGCAATGGATGCTTGAAACATCAGAGGTGCCACGTGCGCGTTACCGACCCTTAAGAAACCTTATACCCTTCATGAAAAAGTATAAAAATAACAATCCAGGACAATTCACACAGCGCAGTCGAGTGGGTACTTGACAACTGAAAGTTGTACTTAAATGTTTTTTTTTGTAAATGCATACAATAAGTACAAACTGATAACAACCACAGGAATACAAACAATCTTATTCATGACTACAAAGGTATGTACCATGTGAGGATGTGTCGAATCCGTGAACATTGCAAATAAGGCGGTGCTAAACCTTTAGATCACCTTAGCTGACTATGCTGTAGACTTTCAAGAAAACCTCGGCAGATAGTTCATTCCACTAATGTAAGTGTACGCTGGAGGAAGCTCCTCTGAAACCGCTCTGTCCGAGACCAGTTAAGTTCTAGCATGTGGGCATGAATTCCCTGTCGATAGCGAGCGGTGCGATGGTGAATGGCTGTTGTCTATCAAACATCATTATACTTGACGTGTGATATTTGTGATAGAGTTAGACTGTACAAAATCTTTCCTATTTGAACCACCACGCAGTTCAAATAGAATCAATTCAAAATATCTTTATTCATGTAGGTTTATAACAGTCTACCGTCCGTGTGGAGTGGATTCGATTTACGAAGAGCTGACAAGAAACTCAGATTTTAATCTTTTCAAATGAGCATGTACATGATTAGAGAAATACAGATTCATTTTTAGATTCAATTAACGAGAATATCGTGAGCAATAGCATATGCTATTGCATATTTGTCAAAAGATCTAATCGAGAAGAAATAGTCTAATCATTGGCCGTAATCAATACAGACCGGTCCTCATAAGCAGCACGAGTTCGATGTTCACGAGTATATTCGGTTGCTTGACTGAGATATGGCATTGAAATTATAGCTGCTCTCTGGTACAGGTATAATATCTAAGTCGTCCGGAATGGCAATAGAAGGAACTACCCTTCTATTGCCATTCCGCGTATCAGTTGAGAACGTGTTGTCTGTGATGATATTGATGTATGTATGCTGTGGTCTCGACCATGTAGCAGTTTAGCACACCGCTTCATTTTTGATAGTATCGGGTTCGATTCTTCACACAGTGCAAACATTTGTATTTTTTCAAAGTTATTTTCTATAACGCTTTAAATGGTGTTTATTGCGTTGAGATGATTAAAGAAGTCGTAAATGCAAATGGTAACTACTGTAGTATGCGTAGAGAGGGTCAATAGATCAAGGTGGTACTTTCGCCACCAGCGCCGCGCCGCAGTCGGGTCGAGGCCGCGGCTGGCGACCTCTGGCGGCGCTGTTTAAATTAACTTTACACATAGTTCAACCATTGTATTCACTACGCGTGGAGTGAATGGATGTATTTATTTATTCATCGATGCTCAATTATTTTTTCATAGGTGCAAAGAGTCAATTATTTCAGAACTAGCTGTTAGCCGCGACTTAGTCCGAAAGGAAATTAACTTTGTTATTTTTGTTAAAATAAATAGTTTCTAAAATAAAAGTAACCCAAGTTACTTTTTATAACTCTTATTTATCTAGTTTCTGTCTATTGTAGACTCTTATGATATATCAAAACTAACTTCGGAGTACTTTCGAGCTAAGACAGAAATGACAAGAAACTCAGCTCTTAATCTTTTCAAATGATCGTGTACAGAAATACAGATTCCTTTTTAAATTCACAGAGAATGTCGTGACCCTTAGCATATGCAATTATGTATTATATTAAACAATGGCACTAAATCGAATAGGTCAGTTCCCACAAGCCATTTCGACTCGATTTTTGTAAGTTATACATAGATAAATACTTTGCAGTTTCTTCGGAACCCTCGGCGCGAATGCGATTCGTTATTTGTTGGTTTCATTTTTAATGCAATTAGTGAGATGTTGTTCCGTGATGGATTGACGTGATGTTACGAGTGGAGGTACCGCCGGATGTCTGCATTAATTCGTGTGGACCGGTCCGTTGGGTATTGCTTAACGATTACGATTGGACCGGGCACAGTGTTGCCAGACTGGTCTTGCTTTCCACCCAAATTTTATCCGAAATACCCCTGAAAGTTAGGTATTGAAAGAAAATATTCATTTAACAAAAGAAAGTGAGTGTTACGTACGTGACATTTTCAAATATCACACCAGTTCTTGTTGTTATTTTTGCTTCGATGAGTACGTGACTAAAGATTTTTTAGGAAGCGTGTTCCACAGTTCTTGTTTGTTTTGGCCCGTAGGCTTCCGTTTTTTTCTTTTTGTACGAATATACCAAAAGTATTCTAAAAGAATTTCATGTAATTACCCCCCTTATTTTGGGGAGGAAACACCGAATCTGGCAGCACAGACTGAACTTCACCTGTATAAGCGGTTAATTAACAAATCACTCGCGTGTTTACTTTAAATCTGTCGTTGTTTTTTTGTTGCAGCTTATTACTAATCTTGTTAGTGCGATATTGGTCAATTTGTATGGCTATCATAATATTCTTTGTACATTTATCACATGTATATGATAAAGGTCATACCATTTTGTTGAATTAAATGGTATTTTGCCATATACGTTCATTTTATTGCTTAATGGATTTGTACTCTTTTATTTTACTCGTATGCTATTAGCTGATATGACTAGAGCGGGATCACATACAATTATTCGTTAAAAAACATGAATAATTAACGTGTATATGTATATTTCACAAGAGGACTCACAAGCAAGTGAATAGTGACATCCAAAAAAAGAGATATAGAAATAACACAAGTATTTATAAAAAGAATGGTGGACAAGCTGCCAGTAGTAGTGGATTTTTATTTTATTGGGTTGTTTGGGCTATTGTCAGATGTTTGTAGCACCTGTAGCACTGCGACCTACATAGATCTATTGTGCTCGTCCTTTTCCAAAGTTCGCTACCTAGACCCGTCAGGGACAAGAATTGAAAGATATTCTTAGGAGCGATGGTTTTCATCTCCTCGGGAAAGAGCGTAAACTTTCCAAGGGAGATATTCCGTTCATGCATGAGTGGACTACAACCATATAGGATATGAAGCAACGTTTCCTCTTCAGTTTGGCAGAATCTGCAGATTCTTGTCGTGCATAGGACTAGTTAAAGTGGAATTATTTACTTAAGTATTCCATTCCATAATGACAGTAGGTTGTTAATTTCACAGCAATTGTGGACCCTATTTGTTGTGTGGGCGCAAGAAGCAGAAAAGAAGAGAATAGCACGAGTTCGTTGCTTTATAATTATAAAATAAAATAAATAAAAAGATATATCTAATACACGGAATTAATTGAATTTTAACTATATATTAATTATTAAATAAAAATTTGAATTATATAACAATGTCTTGAGATTTTTATCATTATTATCGTCTTATAATAGTCATATTTGAAGCCTGTTGTAATAAAATTGTACAAAATGGGTTGTGGGTTATGGTATGGTTTTTAAATTCTACCCCTCAATGATTATTTGTTAGACATTTGTATTCTTTCCTGTGATACTTGAAACCAGAAAAAAGTGTATCGAAACGCGTGAAGGCGCTTTCACGCCACAGGTCGAGGTCGCAACTTGTGACCCGTATAGTGTGCAATTAACTCATTGCGTCCACTGCACTCTGCTGCGTCACGACTCTTACAAGCAACGTGATGTGACATTATTGAGTTTAATTGGGGTTTATATTCACATAAAGTGTTGGTTTGAATATTAACAATGTCTTTTGATTGATATACAGTCGTTGAAATTTGTGAGAGAACTTGATCTTTCTTTAGTTTCGTCCACACCCGATACACCTGTACCTCGACAACCTCGATGATCTAGCGGTTTGGTACACCGACTTACTTTCGGATTGTTGCGAGTTCGATTCGTCGCACGGTACAAATATTTGTATTCATGAGTAAGTATGACTGTTTGTAATGGTCTACCATCGAGCTCGTCATAAAAACATGTCATATAAATTTATTTCTCTTTATAACATTAGTATAGATGATTAAATTAAATGATTTTTGTTTAGGACATTAAGCACAAAGAAATTAACTAAATGCCGACACATAAACACAGGTATATATTGTTGCATTCACCACAGCCTGGTACATCATACTTCCTTCGACGGATCTCGGCACACCTTACGCCTTGCTTCCGATGATCACGGGTTCGATATCTAGCACGGTACAAATAATTGTATGTGTTCATGGGAAGTAATGTTTGTATTGGTCTGGTAGTTTCCTATGTATTTATATCAGTTGTCCTTTAGCCATATTAGGACGAGATGGCGCTGTGTGAGTTGTATAGCGTTATTATAATTATAACACTAAACTCAAAATCCTCCATTTTCGCTTCCAGGTGCGGACATGACGTTCCAAGGTGAATACGCGGCGCAAGTCCTAGGGCTGCCGGGGGAGTCGCCGGCGCCGTGTTCGCCGCGCGCGGGCTCCCGGCCGGCCTCCCGCGCGTTCCCGCTCGACGCGCCCGCACCCGCACCGCCGGAGCCCTACCGCAAGGACGAGAAGGACACCAACCATGTCACCAAGTTCAATAATGTATGTGCAGTCTTAATTTTTTAAGGAGTATCTGTCTACGTGGAGTTTAAGCCATTTTGTCTAATATAAAAAAAGTCTTGAGATATATGCGACTGAAAGTACCGTCGGTCTAAATGTTTACTATATACCGCGACTTTGCGTGGAATTTAACCAGCTTTTTTTAAATAAAAGTAGTCAGTTACTCCTTATACATTGTATCTGTTATCTGCGAGTGAAAGTTCTGTCGAAATCGATCCAGCCGTTTCAGTGATTAGTAAGTATAAACTAACAAGATTTTTTGTTAATTAATCAGAAAGACAAACAAAATAGTCCTCAGTCCAAAAAATAATGGTTCAGTAACGTCTATTTTTTAGTTACGTTTTTACTTACCGTTCCACTAATCAAGAACGTTTGCTGTTTTAGATTGAGTACCAAAGAATAGGGTTGCCGATTTTTGCAATAAATAATACATGTATGAATAAAATAAAATAAAAGAATCATCGTTTTCAAAAATAATGTCATGCGTGATCAATTAGTTATCTATACATATAAATACAATTGTAGTGTCTGTTTGTAATATTGAAATAATCGCTTTTACTACATGCATATGAATATAAATACAACTTTTTACAAAAACCACTTTTTACAATTTTTGTTAATCTGTCTGTCGGTCCGTTTGTTCCGGCTAATCTCTGAAATGGCTGGACCGATTTTGACGGGACTTTTTTTGGCTGGCAGCTGATGTAATAAGGAGTTATTTAGGCTATTTTTATTTTAGAAAAATAAAGTTAAATTCCACGCGGACGAAGTCGCGAGTACGGGTAGTTAGTAATATGTTCCAGTGCTAGCTGCTAACTCTGTAAATGTTGTCGTTAGCAGCGGTACGGGGGCGGCGGCGGCGGCGGTGGTGGTGAAGAGGAGGGCGTGCTGGACCTGCGGGCGCGGGACCCGTCCGTCATCTCGGTGGGCTCGCAGCACTCGGGCGTATCCGAGCCCGCAGGGTACCTCGACGCCGTCAGGTAACACCACCCACACATAAAGGGCTAAAAACGACTTGTATCCAGAGCCGTAAAACATAATGTTAAAAAAAACAACATACTATATTACGATATATCATCGTCGTCTGCTTCTTCCTTAGTCCATTTATTTGGGGTCGGCGTGATATGTATCCCTGTTCGCACTCATTTCGTTTTTCAATACCTTTTTTGTCATATTATGTTTCACACAGTTCATACATCTCATTTTCGACCTTGCTCTGCTCTTAGAACTATCCGTATTACGATATATCAATGAAAATATCTTTATTCATGTAGGTCTAATATATACTGTGATATGTCAATTCTACTGTCAGTTCGGTAAGCTTTCGAAATGAGAAGAACTGACAAGAAACTCGGCTCGTATTCTTTTCAAATAGTTGTACATGTTTACAATAGTATAATTTCATTTTTTAATTCAAAATTAGGAAATAAATGTTCGTTATGCGTGCGTGCGATAATTATACATATATACTAGTCAGCTCAGTGGGAGTATGTTATTGGTTATTATAAATGCGTTATGATGGTTATAACACACGGGAATTTCAGCCTAAGACTAAAGCGAGGCCGTAATAGAGCCAAATGTGTTAAATAGAATGTGTTAAATAATAATATCATTAAAAGCTCAAAAAGCAACACCTTGAAACAAAACTTTGATGGAAAAAAATCTTACCATTAACAATAAACTACACTAGGAGTCGTGATTAAGAGAGAAATTACAGAAATGCCATCGTTGCTTCTCAATATACTCAAATGTTCTATTTCTGTACGCAAGAATTTTACTTATTTAAAAAAAAACAGCCATATTCATAACATTCATACTAGTTTTAAAGACGAACTTTCTGTTCCTACAATGTGTCTTTTATAAGAATGACTAGAAAATTTTACAATATGTAAGGCTATACTGGAATTACTTTTAAATAAATTTAAAACATTCACTAAATGATTAGTTATTTATTTTATTATTTATTTTTCCACACTTACATCTATTTTTACAGGTCTTAGCCTAATACAATAGTGCAGTAAATCATTATTTTTTAAATTAATTGGAAGTTTGGAGTTAAATGACAAAATAGAATAGAATTTATTAACTCGTTTTTACAATCGCATGGCAATAGTTGTACATGAACGGGATTATTATAAATTTAAAACACATCGACTCAACGATTACATTATTAACATGTCCTTCCACAATATCTAGACAATTTTTAAATCTAAGATAGATACAATAGTGTGTACTCAATACATATAAATAAAATTGGAGCGTGTGTTTGTAATATTGAAATAACAGTTTTTTACTATATGCATTTGAATATAAATATACCAAATAATAAAATTTTTAAAATTTTTGACTATCTGTCCATTTGTTTGTTCAAGAATCTCTGAAATGGCTGGATCGATTTTGACGGCGACTTTTATTAGCAGGTAGCTCTCCATGTAATAAGGAGTAACCTTAGGACAAATCGTATTTTAGAAAAATCATTTATTAAAAAATAAAGTTAAATAACACACCGAATGTCAGACAATAACTGTTAACTTTGGTCTAATCGGTTTACCTTCTATTTACCGCATGGTGAAAAAGATTCTAATTACAAACATTTGTATTCATAAATATGATTTATATTGGTCTAATTCTATGTAAATATCGTATCTATTAAAAAAAAATGTATCTGTGTATTATTGTTATAGTTGTCTCAGTAGATTTTAACACAAGCTCGCTTATACGATATTTAGCGCCATCTAGTCCCAAGTATAATTTTGTTATGGGTGACTAGATGATAATATATATATATGGTATTTTTTTAAATTTTTGTATATCATCAGATTTATATACATTATAAATGTTAGACAGTAGAGGACGCTGTGTGAATTGTATACAAAAATACCATCCTGATCATCTGGATGAATGGCGGTCCTCCACATTGCGGTTTTCTAGACACTTTTTGCCACGCACAATCATATTGTGGAATCACCTTCCAGCAATGGTATTTCCGAACCGATATGATATTGAAACCTTCAAAAAAAGAGCTTATTCCTTTTTAAAAGCCGACAACGTACTTGCAATTCCCCTGGCGTTGGGGGTGCTCTTGGGCGGCGGTATTCACTTACCATCAGGTGAGCTGCATGCTCGTTTGTACCCTGTGTTATAAAAAAATGTTGTAATGTGTGATGGTGACTTGCAGGTCGACGGTGTCGGTGTACTCTGGCAACTCGAACTCGAGCTCGGACCGCGTGTCGGACATCCTGGACCTGTCCATGCCCGACAAGAACTCCATGACGGAGGTGTGCTACGTGTGCGGCGACGAGTACAAGCGTGGCACGCTCTCCAACCTGCACACCAAGGAGCCTAAGGACAAATCGGTAATTGAAGCTTTAATAATTTATTAAAAGATAGTATAAAGATTGAATGAAACACACCGAATGTCAGACAATAACTGTTAACTATTAGGAAATCGAATTACCTTCAAGTACCGTACATTACATGAAAAAGAAACTAATTCAATTCTATTAATAAACGTATATTTTTTGAGAATAATGAAGTAAATATCGAACCAACTAAACATAACAATATAGGATCGTTATTATTATTATAGTGCTTAGATTTTGAACTAGAGGGCGCTTATACGATATTTAGAAATGTATCTGTATAATCGAGGGGTGAGGTGATGATAATATTATACCATGGTATTGAGTAGATCATGTTATCACGAATATTGCGTATAAAGATATGGAGAATGGACCTCGGGAGAATATTTGCGTAAATGAACGTAAGTACCGACCTATTGCACTTTTAATAGGTCAATAATGAGGCGTAAACAAGTCGAATAGTACGCTAAGTTATCGTACGATTATATACATTGTTCCCATACTCCTCCGAAAACGGCTTGACCGATTCTCATGCAATTTTGTGAGCGTATTGTAGCGTAGCGTAGGTCTGAGAATCGGCCAACATCTATTTTTCACGCCCTAAATGTTAGGGGTAGTCCACACCAAATTTTTTTTACACAAAATTTTTAGATTCTATTTTTTTATGATACAACATACAAAAATACATACAATCCTAAATTTTCACCCTTCTATCACCAACCCCTATTATTTTATAACGTTATTAATTTATATGGCAAAACAACGTTTGCCGGGACAGCTATAACAAGATGTATTGCATTGCATTTATATCACATTGTCTAGTACCCATAACACAAGCTCTGCTTGCAATATATATATCTATGAAACTAATTTTATAAATTATAGGTACAATTAATGCCGATAGATGGCGTTGTATGAATGAAAACACTATAATAATATTTTTAGAAAAATAACTAATAGATTGTCAAAATCAATATATATGAGATCCTTTAGTGCAGGCTAGCAATTTCGAAGTTTTATCTTTCTGGTTCTTATTATTTTTCAGCTGAACTAGTTTACTAATTATAACAATACAAAATTCAAAGTCCACAGATGGACATAGGGCATACGACGTCATCAGTGTCACACAGAGTCGGGTTATCGTTCAAGTTACAGATAAAAAATATTTTAAACGTACTAAAATATTAATAAATATTTTAAACCTTAATTAAGGTTCCGTAGTATATGCGCTAAATTTAACTGCACGTTTCGTCTCCAGCTTCTTTAGTTATTCATCACCAGATGTAATAATAATCTCAGGACAATTCATACAGCGCCATCTAGATCCAAATTAAGGTAGCTAAACTTGTGTTATGAGTACTAGACAACTAATATAAATACACAGATTATTTTTTTCATAAATACATACATAGTAAACACCTAGAGCGGTTCAAACAATTATACTCATGAATACAAATGTTTGTTCCGTGCGAGGAATCGAACCTGTGATCATCAGAAGTAAATCGGTGTGCTAAATCGTTAGACCACCGAGGCTGTTAATCTACTTATAATAAGTCTCCTCCGTGTGTTCCTCGATCTTACCTATTTCAGCCGCCAAGCTTTGTAAGTTATGTTTCGGTTGTAGAGTGCAGTTTAGGTAGTGAAATTACAAGGTGAAAAGTATGACATTTTAGTCCCCTAGAATGGCATGAGAGATATCATGTGGGTCACATGATAACGTGATGTCAATAGTACAGTGTGGGCCGTCAGATTCTTTGGCATTTCCATTTCATAAAAAAATATAACGTTTTATACGTATAATTAGTAAAAATTACGGGATCTTACCACGTTTTATATTTATTTGCTGAGTTCCCGATATTTCGGCAGTGTTTGTTGGGATCGGGACCCAATCAATCAACCAAAAAAAGTATTAACATCAGAATGGCATTATATCCCAAGAATGATTAGAGAGGCCATTGAAATACAGAAATATAAAAATTTCAATCGAGAAGACGGTTATAGGCTCTCTAACGCCTGGAATCCAGTGATTGGTTTCATTAAACAAAAAACGCGATCGAAAAGTGTATTAAATGTACGTAAAGATACTGGAGTACAGTTTGCCGAGATGGATATCGAGCGAGTTCCATGTTTTGTATATAAAAAGATTTCATTTTCCATCTACCCGCTGCTCGACCGACTGCAATATCGGGAACTCAGCAAATAAATATAAAACGTGGTAAGATCCCGTGATTTTTACTAATTATACGTATAAATAATGACCACGTCAAGTTTAAAACAGTATATATAACGTTTTGTTGAATAAAAGTCGTAGCGGTATGTTTTGTATATAAATACAAGATAAAGCTGCCTTCCTTGGTTGTCGGGAAAACGGGCAGGCATAGTGTTTATAAAATATTTACATTACTATAAAAAATCATTTAGTCTTATCTGGCGTATACATACTACATGCATCTATATAATTTAGCTTCTAAGCTTACATTTGTTTGTAGGATTACAGTCTAGTTTTGCACCAATAACAGTCTTCTAAACAAACTCTTGTACTGATGGTAATCTTCTTTGTGTGGTAATAAATAAATTTCTCCTTCTTTGGCACTCTTATAAAATTGCTCTTCCTTCTTACTATAGATCTTTAAAAGTGCGCTGTTTTGCCCAGAAGTTGGTAAAAAGTGACCGCGTCCAGATTTGGTTGGATTTTTTTGAATTGCTATCGTCCGCCTCATTGCCGCCACTCCCACTGAATATGACAAGTCATTAATTAAGAATAGTAAGTTGTTAATGCAGGCCAATTAAAAATTATCACTGATCATCAGGTCGCGGAGTGATGGTCCAAAGGTTGTAAGGTTATAATGTGCCGCTAAAGTAATGTGTTGTAATTAGACACAATGTTTACATTTTTTTACATGTGAAATATGTATTCTTAATGGATTTATATTATTTTATTTAATTCTGCTACTATTAGTGTGTGTGAGACCACAAATATTCAGTGCGGAAGTCTAACCACCGCTGCTGGAACGATACGATCTTTATTGGTGATCAAATTTCGATTCTTATGTGATCTATGTCCATATTGTGAGACATCGTTAGGCAATGAATACAGTTCGGATACAGCGACTTCAGCATAGTAACACTTAATTAAATCAAATATTATGAAATATGTTTTTTTTTTGTTAGAAAGAACTTTTGAATTTGTTATCGAATTAACATAAGAGTGTTTTTTAATTTTTAATTAATGTTGCGGTTTTAGTTTTAAATTTAATGTAATTGCAAACGAGATGTCGATCTCGATGGTAAACAGTAACGTCGCCTATATATGTTAAGAACCATTCATTCATTAGAAGGCCTCAATGATCCAGCAGTTTAACACACCGCCGTTAATTCCGATTGTCGTGGGTTCGATTCTCGCAGGGTACTAACATTTATATCGGTCTGAGTGTTTCTATGTATCTTGTTGTATGTATTTACAAAATATAATATCAGTATGTGTATATCACTTGTCTAGAACCCATAACACAAGTTCAGCTTATTATTGCCATTCCTAATAAATAGACATCTGCAAATGTACAAATTGGCGAGAAAGTAATATCCCTACAAAGTGGCGAGAGCAACACAATGAAAAATAAAATATTTTTCTTTCCCACCTTGCTATCTACAAATATCTTCAACTGTCGTGTGCCAAAAAGTCATTAATAAACAGTTGCTGTCGTTAATTCTTGACCGAGATATGATTAATTATATATTTTTAATTAGGTATGACTCGTCTCACGCGCCATTGTTCGTCTGATCCCACAGTTCACGTCCGGGTTACGTTTGTTATCCAAAAGATACCACATAGTATTAAATCACCATTGTGGAATCACCTTCCACCAATGATATTTCCAAATCAATACGATATTGATACCTTCAAGAAAAGAGCTCATTCCATCTTAAAATGCTGGCAACGCACTTGCAATTTCTCTGGTGTTGCGGATGCGAATGGTGACGGTAATAGCTTTCCATCAGGTGGGCCGTAAGCTGGTCTAATATTGAGTGTATTGTGATGCTAACCGTAACGAAATTAAATAGTATACATCCATTAAGTAATGACATCGATTTCCTAAAAATAATATTTATTTCAATAAAAATTGTGATAATTTAGTGAATTACAATGTTGATATGTTTTTTTCTTTATGAAGGTAGTATCCATATTCAAATTCAAACATAATTTTTTCATGTAGGACATTTTAGCCGCTTATGAACGTCAAGTTTTTACATTATAATTTTTTTCCCTACCGTCCAGTTCGTTATATAGATCCAATTAAGAAGAACTGGCAAGAAACTCAATTGAATTACTTTTTTTTAAGCCTTGTTGTTCCATACGATTTGATACTACCTTTATAAGCGACGTTCCCATTCCTAATAATCCCCTCCCTATTATACTACATCGCTAAGATGTACGCATCTTAGCATATAAAGGTTCACATATAAAACATGTTAATTACGAGCCATGCAACAAGTCACAAAGTCAATAGTTTATCGCATAGTTTACCATCTGAAATAACAAAATATTTATTATTAGAGTGTACACGTGACGTCACACAATCAACGCACACTGTCTACGGACAAATAGTTAATAAATTGATAGTGCGGGGGCATCGCCGGGTCGCGGGTTCGGGTCGCGGGCTATCGCCAATGGAAAATATGGCGGCAGCCGGGACCTCGCGATACGGACGGGTTATCAACGTGTATCATAGCAATAATTATAATCATTCATGTGATCATACCAATCATTTATTATAGTTTTTTTATAAACTTGTGTTTTATGTAATTTTTCATCTTACTTCTTATTAATATTGTAAACGCGGAAGGTTGTTGATGGATGGTTGGATTGTTACTCTTTCGCACAATAATGACTAAATGGCTTTTAACGAAATTTTACAGTGATATAGCTTATACATCAGAATAACGCATAGGCTATAATTTAAAGTGTGCAGACTAAGTTGCTCGGTCAGCTAGTA